CGCCCGCCCCCCCCGGCTGCGGTGCGCCGTAGTGAGGCGAGGAATGGTTAAACCCCCATCTTTTTATACATACGGTTTTTATTTTTTGTTCCTTTTCGTCTTGGGGCTTTCAGCTTACGGAAAAGGAAAGCATCTGATGCGTCTGCTCACATGCCACTTTTGATCATGCGTTGCCTCTTTGCACAGAGCAGGATCGTTGGGAAAGATGGAGATACAATAAGTTGCTAGGAGTGAAAAGTGCTGCAGAAATCCGGTGGTTTCCTTTCTCCGCTGAAGTGACATATTTTTCCTCGGGTTAAGTTGAAAGCGCTGCTTGGCAGAGACTGACTGTAGCTGAGAGTGGGGTCTGTGTTTTTCTTGCACGGTTAGGTTTTGCAAAGAGCAGCGATGAAGAGGAAGCTGGCACTCTCCGAGATGCAGTTGGTTCTTCTCGTTTTATTGGTGTGGCTACCAACAAGGTGAGAGGATGTTTAATTTTGCTCTTCGGTACAAACATGTATGTTAATGATCTGCTCAGGGTAAGCTCGTGTGAGAGGTTAGAAAAGTATAGTATGTAGTAATGTAATTAAAAAACCTTTCTTGGCTATTTGAATGCAGTATTACATAGTTGCCAGAGCAAATGCAGTAGAAGGTAGTGTAGGGACCATATAAACCTAATCTATCGTCCTTAAACAGTTTGTGAATTGGTGCTTCATTTCACCGTTAAAAAAGATAATTCCTTTAAATGCCTTACTGGATCGTAAAGATTTATTGGAGTTACTGTATCACTGTGATTCTGTACCATATGGAACTGTTAAGATGGAGAAATGAAGTCAAATAGCAAATCACAGTCTCTAAAATAATGCTCGCATATATTTTAATACGGGCATGCTTTTTTTTTTTTTTGGTCTTTTTTTTGGTCAACATAACAGAATTCAAAATGATACTTAAGCTTCAAACCTCTAGGTGGAGATAGCATACAACTTCACAATCACAGATAATAAAACAATAGGCTCATTTATTAATCAACTTTTCTTATGTTGTTTAAAGTTCTCTGTTTCTAAAGTGACAACATGAGAGTAAGTGATTGTAATCATGTAACAGTTTTGTGTTGCCCACAGTCCCTAAACCTGCGATTAATTGTAGTTTGTAACTTCGGTTTGCTTGCTTTGGTTCCGACTGCAGTAGGTCTTGTCCTAATGTGGTAAGGGTCGTAAGCTAAATAGTGCAAGTTTCCTATGATTTAAGTCTGCATTTATTTTCATCTATTTCCTAGTGAACAAAATATTTCCTGAAACTATGTTTCCTATTTCACTTTATGCCTGCCTATGGTGCAGTATTAGTTGAGTCACAGTGGGCCAGATCCTGCAAGCCCTACTCAAGTGAGTAATCTCACTGACGTCAAAGAGACTACATGCGTAATTAAGGAGTTTATGCCTGAGTAAAGTTTACAGGATTCAACCCTAATTTGATATGGTTGCATGATCTAATTTTTCAGTGGTATCCTGAGTTCAGAAAAATGTTGTATCTCAAAAAGAAGCTTAAAAGAGACAGAGACCTACAGTACAGAAATACATTTTAAAATTAAAAAAAATGAGCCATCCAGTAATTAAAATTAAGAAAAAACTCACACATCGGTAAAATCACACATGACATTTTGGTATGCTCCTTGGAAGTTACCTGATTTTGGTCGATTCTATGGTTTATGTGATGGATAGCACAGACTGCAATGATTTACATTTAAGTACTTCCTCCATGCTGTTGAATTGGGGACCAACATAAAGCTCCGTCTTTAATAATTTTGTAGCTTGCTTTAGAGAAAATGTCACCCAAACCTACTTCTGGTTTTGGAGGAGGAGGAAAACATGCTTGGTTTTTTTGACATTCAAAATGCCTTGATTGGTAGTTCATTTAGAGATGATAAATACTCAAAACATTTCAGGTTAAAAATTTAGATGGCTGAAAAAGGCACGAATGATAATGTGTGTAGCATATGCTGCTTCACCTCCTTGATACTAATATTCTGCTATTAAGCAGGTAAGACTGATAGGCTCGTGCATTTCACATGCATGGTGCTTAAAATTGTTGGCACAGTAACATTTGCATGTTTAAGTAAGGCTTTCTGCATGGGAGCGTTTCCCCAGTACGCAAAACCTTTGGTCTGGGTGTCCAGGTCTGGGGGGAGTGTGCAGCACCACAGCTGGCTGGGCAGCAGATTCGTGTTCCAGCCCCTAGTGTTTTCCACAGAGCTATGACCCATAAAGGCTGTAACATCTCTTTCTTTATTGGGGATGTTTGAAACCATCGATGATCTATAGATTCTTCTTGACATTTCATTTATGATTTTTTTTCTGCCCAACTTTTATAGGGTTTGTCTGCATCTAGTGGAACATCAGATAGCGCTTTTTGTAACAAAATAGCTTTTTAGAAACATGAAGGCTATCCATGGCTATCCTGCAGCTTGCTAGTCAGCATCCTTGTTCCCACCCACCAAATACTGACATCAGAGGACTCCCTGAGCATGATCGCTGGAGTTTTCCCTCATGTTAGTTCTTCTGGTCATGTACATTACATGACCATTGGGTGGAAGCATATCCACAGGATTTATCCAGAGATAGAGTATACTTAGGTGAGGACAGACAGGATAAAGCTGGAAGGAGACAATTTTGTCCGTGGGAACCTGGGTTATCAGTCCAGGAGTGACATGCCACCAAGGCCTGGGAAGCTCGTTTAGGTTTTTGCACCTGCACAGCCAAATGTGTTAGCAGAGCTTGAAGTTGCAGTCACGGTGATGCAATGTTGACTAGGAGTAGAGGCTACTGGAAAATAACTTCGTGGAAATTTTAAATAGCACATCATCGACTCTTACGTTTCTGAACATGTTATATATAACTTGTGTATTCATATAGTCTTAACTACACCCTTCCTTTTTGAGGGCAGCAAGTTAAATATTCAAGGCCAGCCTGCAAAAACTGCATGTTGAGTGTACATTAAAACCTATCTAGCACTTTCTAAAATGTAAAATGTCCATTTAGATCAGTGCTGGCTGACTCCCTGGAAGACGAAGCTAAGAATAACATCACCATCTTTACAAGAATTCTAGACAGACTTCTGGATGGTTATGATAATCGTCTCAGACCTGGATTAGGAGGTAATAAAAACAATTAAAGATTGATTTTAAAAAAATCAGTTTTAATGTTCAGATTTTATGCAGTGATATTCTTCCTTCAGGGTGTTGGGTTTTTTTTTTCCTAACAACTGGTATGTATCTTGATAAATTATTTATAGCTCTATATTCACCCAGCTGAATCATTTGAAGTTTGAAGAAGATAACATCTATGAATGGAAAGGAAGCACTTTCACACATTTATCTTAAGTAAAAAGAAAAAAAAAATCTGGTGATTTAACATAGTAAAACAGAATGAGAACAAAAATAACATCTACAGCTGTTATTCCGGTCAGGGAATTTTGGTTGAGCAAGGAATGCAGGCTTGATTCCCTGCAATGCGATGAGTGTATGTTTTCAGAAGTCTGCACAAGTGGTTCATGTGGTATGTGTAAAATCCACATTTCAGATTCATTCCTTGTCCCAGTAAATTCAATGGGAATGTTGTATTTTTGACTTCCTTGGAATTAGGAATTCACTAGTAATTAGCATTTTGTTTCTGGGCACCTTGCATGTATTTGGGCATTTGAAAAAAAAAAAGAAAAAAAGGAATATTGGAGGACAGAAGTCACTGCATTCTCGTGCCACAACTGTCAGTTATTTTTCAAAAGGTCCATTCCCATTTTCATTTTAAAGCTGTATGGCAGCTCATGTAAGTATATAAGCAAGAAATCTAAATAATTTGTTTGGTATTGGAAGTATTACTGTGCAAAAAGATCTCTATGGTATGGGGAGGGGCAGAATATCTTGGGTTTGATGCTATTTTATCTACTATTACTGTTTATCTAATAATATTTCTGTACTGACTACAACACTGTTACTATTATTATTATATGTAACAGTTTCGGTCATTGTGATTTTCAACCTGGAGACTGTTTCAGGTTGCTAAAACTAATTCTAGCGCAAAATCCCTAGGAGCCATTCCTGTTACTGTTGATTTCAGTAAGATCAGGCCCAAAGCTAGAGACCTGCTCTAACTTCCACGGAAATTACTCTAACAACTCCGTTTGATCAAATTAGGAATTAGTTAAAGCTCACAGTTTTTAGCCAACACTCTTCCATCCTGACCTGTGGCTCTGCTGCTGTTCTGGTTCTGGAGAAGCTTGGCTTGCATCTGACACAGCACAAAGTGGGAGCTGGCACTGGCTGAAAACAGCTCTCTCATTATACGTTAATCTTAACCTAGGATATCATTTCCATTTCTGGCCTCTGTACAGTGGCAACTTGTGAAGTAGTTTATATTTAAGGACTTTTTGATTTAGATGATCTATAAAATGAGACATACAGCACTGTTGATGTGAGAATTTATACAGTTATGTTTTTACATGGAGATTCCATTTCTTTGCAAAATACCTGAATTTAAGAATTTAGAGATAGTATAAACATACAGTGCCTTGCAGGTGACTTGCAGAAACATTTCATATCACAAAGCTTGTGTTTAATTGGCAGGGCTTTTAAAATCATGTTTTTTATTAGAAAAATAATGAAACATTCTTTTCTTGTTTACAAAAAGGAATGTGCCATTTAATGAGAGCAGTCTGCAGTTCCTTTGCATATCATGTATTCTTTTTAATATTAAAATTCATATTGTTGAAAACATGAATTTGAAAAATTATTTTTCTAATGGATTTTTATTTTCAATTTTCCGTTAAATCTACTTCAAAATACATCCTCTTTTTCTTTGCCAAGCCTCCTAGGTAATTAAAATATACTTTGGGAGCATAAAAATTAGAGAATTAACATCTGTTTGATATTGGCGTACATGGCAATCAACCCATGCAGAACATGTGTGAAATGAAACTGTGTCATGCATATTAAACCGTGATGATTCATGATACATTAATCTTAATCTGCAAGAATACTTCAGTTGTGGATGGACAGATTCTTAGAGTTCTAAAGAACGCTTGTAAAATCCATGGTATGAAATATACCAAACAATGCATTTGTACATAATGCTTAGTAATTACAGAGTTTTATATTTCAGGAATTTGGTAGCACTTTGTTCCTTTTTCTCTATTAACCTGTACTCAGCAAATAAAATCAGAAATAATTCATCTTTTTTTTTTTAAACACTATGTGCCTAGTGAGTCTTGATAGTTTCTAAAAGTGTTTATTTTGCATAGACTACTCCATTTTGATCATGCCACATGTCATTAATTTAATATACTAAGTCTCAGTTCTGTTCTACTTGCATTTATATGAATCTGAAATAATTCAATTGAAACAAGTAGAGCATTTACTTTGGCATAGCAGCTTGCACTACCCTGCTGCACTACTATGACTGAGATCGCAATCTGGCCTAACATGTACTACAACAGAAATAGTCCAGGGTCTGAGATAGATTCTTTTGAAGTCTTTTGAAAGCAAGAGCTATTCACCGGCCCACTTTCACCTGTTGTGAGAGACATTTTCAGAGTTGTCTTACAGCAAAAATTCAGCTCATTGTAAAGAATTATTCATCTCAAAAAAGTTTTTAGTAATGACAAGTGTCAGCTTAACACTAGCATTTTAGCTAGTTATTGACCAACAAAATGGAAACATATAGGCTCCTTCAAAGAATGTATATAAATTCAACTAAGTAATTGTCTGTTTGGGAATTTGTTCTTGAATTTAGGGATAGACTTATAATGAATTTTACTGGGAGACTTGGTGTGAGCACTTACAGTAGGTGACTTGAGGCTTTACTGATACATCGATACACTTCAGAACCGAGTCCTGTTTTCTGTAGGCTGTTAAGGCAGCTTTAACTTTTACTGGTGATGCAGCTCTGTCGTATAAACAGAGTTTGGCTGCTGGCTACTGGCTGTCCTAGCAGCTGGGATCCTTGAATGATGTATGACCACTATAGTGATGAAATAGCCTGCAAAATGGGTGTGGGCAGGGAAAAGAAGGCACTGCACTGTCCCCTGCAGCCAGAGATTTCTCATATGACTTAGATAATACCCCAGCCTACTGTGTTGATATGGATAGGCATGAGGGTATTCAAGGGGAGATAATTTTTTCTCTGTACTCATTTTATGCAAAGCACAGGATTGCAGCTGGAACACTCTTGACTGCACTCTCAGTTCTGAGATGAGCTATTTTACCCAAACATTCCATGGCATTTCTGTTTAGACATCAATATAAATTACAAGTTTGGTTTCAAAACAAATTCCCTATGTCATTAGCACTAGTTTGTATGAAATACAGCCATGCAAATGACAAGTCATAAAGACTTTGATTGTTTATGATTTTTCTTCAAAATCATGAAAGTATTTTCTTCTACCTATTTGCTGTAATGTTTGCAAGACACTTAGGATAGCACTTTTCCATAAATCCTTTGAATTTTATTAGCATATAGAAAAAGAAATCCACAAAACAATGGGCACTAAAACTAAGCAAAAGACCAAAAGAGAATTTAGATCTTCAAATAATGAGACAACTGAATGTTGAAGCTGAGCTACAGCTGCATTCAAATCTGGAAGTGATTGAATTATCTGTCTGCTCTGTCTGCTTTCCTCTGCCCCGTGGACAGACATGATTGAAGGAAAAAGGGACGTAGATTAAGGCAATCCCCTCTTTTAATATGTTGATGTACTTGTGTATTAGGTGTATCAGCGAACACGTACATGTTTTTTAAAATGGTAGCTTCTTTTTAAAGATGAAAAAGAGAAAGGAAGGGAGAAGGAATGGAGATGGTGCTGGGATTTTGGTATCATATTGGATACTTCAGTAGTCTTACCATCTCCATAAGCTGTTCAGCCTGCTTTGCTTTCTCACGTTTGAAATCGGTCGGTTCCAGCAGCTATAGAACTTCTGTGTGTTCTACTCTCTGGAATTTATAAAATATAATTGAATACAAGACTTAGACAATACGGAATTTAAATCTTGAATAAAACCACAAAGGGAATTTACAAGGACAGAGGACTGGACTTCATTGCCTGAAGGCCAGATTTTCAACTGCCATATTGACATCAAAAAGAGATATGCAAATTTATACAATTTGAGGATCTTCCCACAAACTGTGGTCAGTCTCACCAGCTTCAGGAATGGCATTCTCATTGTAACCAAGGAGGTGAATGCTGGTTATTAAAAAAAATGAGGAAAATCAGACAGTAGGTAGGTGAAAACTAAATGCCACTGTGGTTCTGTTTTGGAGAATCCATCTCTGCTGCAAGCTGACTTTCAGATGGTCTGATTGCTTTAAACAAGAATCTCCATTGTGTTTCACTTGTAGACATATGCAAACCTTTTTTTTTTTCACAACATTTTGTAAATAAATTGAGCAGGAAAACCAAAGAGAACTGAGAAGGATTATTGCTATCGGAGAGATGGTGAGCAGTGAGCACTTGCAAGTATGATCATTCATCTTTGCAGACCTGGATATATCGTTGCATAGAATCGGTGTAGTAGCATAGAGTATCAGATTCTGTGATTAAAAGTTGTATGATGTGCTCACCAATATGAGCTAAAAGGGAGAAAACATTTTTTTCACAAAAAGACTTTTCTCCCCCCCTCAAATCAGGAGATAAATATATGTGTGTGTGTTTGTCAAAGTGTTGTATGTTTTTCAGTTGCCAGGAAACAAGGCCCTGATCATATGCTGATAATCCGGAATATGTTAAACTTAGGGCAGTATATTTATATTTCTTTGTGACTCAGAGTTTTTAATCAGCTTTAGAAGAGTTTGTAGCTGTAGCGGTCTCCTAGCTGGGCATTCAAACTTAGCGGTGTTTGTCAACCTCATTATGCTGAATAGACATTCAGAGTATCCTACAAGAAGGTCCTTTGACTATTTTTGCCACAGAACACGACAGGAAAGCTTTCGCTACTGTTTTTAAAGGAAAAAGTGCAGTTCCCCTGCTCAGTTGCTTCCTTAGCCCTTATTTGCTCCAGTTTAATCTTCTGGAAATGGTAAAGTCTCTCTGCCAGTGCTAGTGCAGAGCAATTCAGAGCAGCACCTGTGTTTTCTGAAAGCCCGCTGTCAATGTAGTTATGCCGGGATA